TGGGGGTTAAACGCAGGGGGCTGGGGGCCAGGACGTCTGGGTTCTCTCCCCAGCTCTGGGAGGGGAATGGGGGCTGGGGGGTTAGAGCAGGGGGCTGGGGGCCAGGACGTCTGGGTTCTCTCCCCATCTCACCCGGGTCCCTCCCTGTGCCCCAGAACATCCTGCGCCGGGCGGAGGAGGGCTCGGAGCGGGAGAGAAATGCGTTGGATGCCCTGGCCTGCATCTCCCAGGTGAGTTGGGAGGGAGTTGCTGTGGGGGGGGGAGGGCCAGGTGCTGTGGGCACTGCCCCCCCTCACTCACTTGCTCTGCCCCCCAGATCATTGAGGAGTGCAACTCGGAGGTGGGGCGCATGCGGCAGACGGAGGAGCTCATTGAGATTGCTGGGCGCATCGACTTCGACCGGCTCAAGGTGCCCCCCCAGGGCCTGGCCCCCTGCTCTTGCCCCCGAAGCCCTGCTCCCCACCTGCCAGCTGGGCATGGGGTGGGTGTCTGGGGGGTCCTGCCCCCCATGGGTCTGGTGCTGGGGGTTCTGCTCCCACCCGCTGCATCTCTAACCCCCCTGGCCGTGTGCTGGGGGTCCTACCCCCCCCCGCTGCATCTCTAACCCCCCTGGCCGTGTGCTGGGGGTCCTGCCCCTCCTCCTGCGTCTCTGACCCCCCAGACATGTGCTGGGGATCCTACGCCCCCCCCCCGTATCTCTGACCCCCCGGCCCCGTGCTGGGGGTCCTGCCTCTCCCCTCATGTTTCTGACCCCCCCGCCGTGTGCTGGGGGTCCTGCCCCGCGTCTCTGCCCCCCCAGGCGGTGCCCATCATCTCGCAGAGCCGGCGGCTGGAGAAGCAGGGAGCGCTGGCCGAGGTGCTGCCCCGGGGGTCCCTGTTCGGCACCAGGCCCCGGACGGTTCCCATCCACCTCTTCCTCTTCAGTGACCTGCTGCTCGTCACCCAGCGCAAGAGGTGGGGCCGGGGGGGCAGGTGTGGGGATATGTCAGGAGAGAAGAGGGCTGGGGGTGCCTGGGATGGGGGTTGGCGTGGATCTGGGACTGGGATGGGGGGTGTCTGGGAAGGGGGGGCTAGAGTTCAGGGAGGGGGTGTCTGGGGCAGGTGGGTTGGGGGGTCAGGGCTGGGGGCTCCCTGGGGGTCTGGTGCGGGGAGAGGGGGCTCCGGCGGGGGCAGCTGGGCGCGGGGCCAGGGAGAAGGGGGCTGGAGGTGTCGGGGTGGGAATTGGGGTCTCGGATGCAGATTGCGGGGCTGGGGGGTATCTGGGGGAGAGGGTCGGGACGGAGGGACTGTGGGGGTGTGTGGGGGAGGGGAGCTGGTCGTGGGGAGGGGGCCGTGGGGGTCGGGTCAGAGGGGCTGTGGGGGTGTCTGGGGAGGGGCCGTGGGGGTCGGGTAGGGGCAGAAGGGCCGTGGGGGGGGGTCAGAGAGGGGGGCTGGTCTAGGGAGGGGCCGTGGGGGGGTCAGGTCAGAGGGCCTGTGGGAGAGTCTGAGGGGAGGGTCTGGGCGGAGGGACTGTGGGGGTGTGTGGGGGAGGGGGGCTGGCCTGGGGAGGGGCTGTGGGGTCGGGTAGGGGCGGAGGGGCCATGGGGGGGTCTGGGAAAGGGGGGCTGGTCTAGGGAGGGGCCATGGGGGGAGGGCTGCTCTGGGGAGGGCTGCTCTGGGGAGGGCCAGTGAGGGTCCCAGCCGCACCCTGACCCCCGTGTTCCCCCCCCAGCGCGGGGCGCTTCGTGGTGCTGGACTATGGGCACCGGTCGCTGGTGTCGGTGCAGGGGGTGGGGCAGCCCCCCCCCGGCGCCCGGCCTGGCCCAGGCCTTTTACCTCACGCTACTGGAGAACCACTGCGGCCAGGCCTGCGAGCGCCTCTGCCGGGCCCCCAGCCAGTGAGTGGGGGGGCTGTGGGGCTCCCAGGGGGGTGCAGGGAGCCATGGGGGGGCCACAGGAGGGTCTGGGGAGGCTTCGGGGATCCCGGGGGGGCTGCGGGGAGAGGGACCCAGGAGAGGCGGAGGGGCCCCGGGGAACAGGGATCAGGGGAGGAGGCCAAGGGAGGGCCTGGGGAGGGGTTCCTGGGGGGAGCAAGACAGGCGGTGAGGGGAGAAAACGGGGGGCCCCCATGGGCAGGCCAGAGGGACACTCCCGGGTGGGGCAGGGGTCCCCCCTCCCTGTCCCTGAGGGCCCTGTAGCTGTCTGGGGGAGGGGACGTGGGTGTGAGGACAGGACCCCCCCCACACACCGAGGATGGGGGAGGGGCAATGGAGCTCCCCCTTTTTACAACCCCTCCCACACACCCCCAGGTCGGACATGCACCGATGGATGGAGGCCTTTCCCCAGCACGGCGCCCCCCCCAGCCAGCCCCAGGAGACCATCTACGAGGACTGGGGTGGGTACACTCCGCTTGGACGCCTAGGTCCTACCTGGCTCGTGGTTAGAGCAGGGGGGCTGGGAGCCAGGACTCCTGGGTTCTCTCCCCAGCTCTGGGAGGGGAGTGGGGGCTGGTGGGTTGGAGCAGAGGGGGGTGGGGCTGGGAGCTAGGACTCCTGGCTTCTCTCCCCAGGTCTGGGAAGGGAGTGGGGGCTGGTGGGTTAGAGCGGGGGAGCTGGGAGCCAGGATGCCTGGGTTCTCTCCCCAGCTCTGGGAGGGGAGTGGGGGCTGGTGGGTTGGAGCAGACGGGGCTGGGAGCTAGGACTCCTGGGTTCTCTCCTGGCTGGGGAGGGCAGGGGTCTCACCTGCCCCCCTCCCCCCAGACTGCCCCCAGGTGCAGTGCGTGGAGCCCTACCTGGCCAGGCAGGCTGATGAGCTGAGCCTGGAGCCGGCCGACGTTGTCAACGTGCTGCGCAAAACGAGCGAGGGTGAGTGTCGGGGGGCGGAGGGGAGGGCTGGGCGGTGCAGCCCACCCAGTGACCGGGCGGGGAGCCCCAGTGCTGCCCCCTGGTGGATGGAGCTGGATCAGACCCAGGCACCTGCTGGCTCCCCCTGTTCCATGCTTTGCCCCCCTGAACCTCCCATTGGGGTCCCCCTGGTCTCCATGTCCTCGGGCCCCAAATCCCTGGGGCCTCTTGCCCCACTGCTGTCCCCCCCCCACCCTATGCAGCCATGGCCCCTCCCCCGGGCGCTGGCTGGGTCTTTCCCCCCATGGCAGGAGGGTGCGGAGGGCAGGTCGGTGGCGCTGCCCCGTGCTGGCTGCGCTCACCCTCCGCTCCCACCCGGCAGGCTGGTGCCAGGGCCTGCGACTGGGCGACGGTCACAAGGGCTGGTTCCCGGCCAGCCACGTGCAGGAGATCACCAGTGAGCACGTCCGCCGGCGCAACCTGCGTGAGAGACACCGGCTCCTCCAGGCCGCCCGGCAGCTGCAGCTCAGCCGCCTCACCACCGGCAAGGCAGACTCTGCCTGAGCCGGGCACGGGACCTGCCAGGCACAGGACCCGCCTGAGCCGGGCACGGGACATGCCTCATCCACCTGAGCCGGGCACGGGACCCGCCTGATCCGCCCGAGCCGGGCACGGGACCCGCCTGATCCGGGCACGGGACACGTCTGATCCGCCTGATCCGGGCACGGGACACGTCTGATCCGCCTGAGCCGGGCCTGGAATATTGCGACGGGCACCAGGCCGGGTGTGGCCAAGCCCCAGCCGAACTCAGCCTGAGCCAGTGTGTGTGGGGGGTGCAGGCCTGGCCCCCTCCCCACCCGCAGCCAGCTGCCCCCTGGCACCGTGGGCACTGCCGAGGGTGGGACATCTCCGGTGTTGGACGGGGGCTGCTCCGGGACAAGCTACCTCAGTTGGGCCACCCCCCCCTTGGGACCAGGTGGACACACTGCCACTCCCCCCCTCCCCCCGACGCACATCCCTGGAGCTGTGACCCCCTCCCCGTCCGTCTCCTGGCCCCCCAGCTTCTGCCTGGCAG